CACGGCACGATTGCCAGAAATGATGACGCGATTTATCTCGACAAATAGCCGTTTCTTTCAATTATGTGCCAAGAAAAGAACTAATAAGCACGATAAATGCAAGATAAAGCTGCAGGGTTGTACAAGACGGCAGTTGGTTCAATGACCGGGTACTGCTTTCAGCTATACTCACACTCCATCCTGCCCACCCGTTATCCTCCTTGCTACTAGTATCGATCTAACGTTTATAGGACGATACGTAATCCTTAATCACAACTAATATCTTTCTTCCCCATTCTCAATATCATGTTGTACAGTACGTTGTCTATGTCTTTAGAAGTGAAAAAAATTGATATTTTTTGTTGCTCGATGTCTTGCCATAAATGTCATCAAGAAAAATCATTTCCCTTTTAGTTGGCACATTTTGTTGGCAGTGTCCGTACATTATCTGAGAAAAATAATGGTTTTTGCAAAACTTGAAATAGCGACATTACTTGTGTCAAATGGACTAGTAGACTGCTCTGATGGCTGATGAAAAATTGCGCGGCTAGAACTAGATAGATGAATGGCGGCGGTATCATTGCGGTCGAGGAGCCTATAGCGAGCTGGTTGGGCAAAGTCGTTGGACCTCCCGGGTGTAATTTAATTCAAGGGTCGGATGAGTAAAGATAGATATAGGTGCGCGAAAATGGGGATACACGAGGTGAGGGTAGATGAGATAGAAGCGTGGTAAAGAGGCCGAGTCGAGACGAGGACGAGGGTTGGACTGGCGACCGTGGCTAAGTGACCGTGTCGAAGAAAGGAAGTAAGGAACGCCCGGGCCCGGGCCCGATATCGAACGAGGCCTATGAAACAAACACGCGTGTATCGTAGCAAATGATTGATGACTATTATGTAGGCATTAGCAAGTTAACATTGCCTAAATAGTTACCGAAGGGTAAAGATTGCGAGGTGAAACGAACATAGCTTCCGACTTACTGCGTTTACAATTAGAAATGAAAGCGATACACGATTACAACGTATCTTTAGGGCTTTTCCCTTCGACACGCTCTCGTCGGCTAACTGCCAACTGGACGGCTGCAGAAGGAACGGTCCTGTCATCTTTATTCCGTCGATGTCAAGTCGATTATTCTAGCGTAGAATACACTTACGCGTGACCTTAATATCTCGGCTACACATAATATCAGACATAAGGAATAAAAACAACACTGCTATTTTATATTTAGATTTTCTCGACTTTCACAGTGAGAATAACAAGTGCAGAACAACAAGTTTAGTTCCGTTCGATTGAGATTTGCCAGTTTCAAGTGAAAATAATAATGTTCTAAATATCGAATGAGCCTACCGGGGCGCTTGCTCATCCGAGTTCCTCGATGAAATCGCGATGACAAAAATCTAACGCAACGAATATCGAAATAATTCGGAAAAGCGACTTATTTAAACGATGATGGACTCGTTTTGAATAAGGACCTCCTACGTTAAAGATCTTTAAGGGAGCGATCTAATACACGCTAGTAATTGTTTTACTAATATTTCCGCGACCTCAATGACCGGCAGCATATATACACACTTTGTGTGTAGGAGAAATAATTTCCATACTTTTGCGCTTTCTTTCAACGATACGTTGTTTACCGTGCTTTATAAAGATGACGATATGTATAATGCCGCTTGTCTGAGAACTGCCGTCGCGTCGCCGGTGTGATCGTAAATTTGCAAAATAGAAATCGTTACCACATCGACCTCGAAAGATGCATACATAAATGCAAGAGAAAAGTACGATCGTGGGTACGTTACGAATCGTATTTTTGCAAAATTCAAGTTGGCATGAAATCGCAATTTACGATCTCTCTAGGAAGAAATGTGAGCAATGCAACTTGGCTGAAAATCCGCACTTTAACCCCTCTCTAGTTACATTATCTATCTTTTATCGCAAACATGTATCAAATGTACACTTAAATTCATGTAAAATAGCTTTCGGTGTTTTTAGAATTTGTTGATAATATAGGAAAAAATGCAGAAGAATATAAACGATGTATAAACACATGGTAAACTTGCAAATATTTAACTTGGAAAACGGAATTCAACATAAAATCAATGTCTATTACGTTTTCTCCTAGAAACCTTGAAACGTCGTCGACCACTCACGCATTCATCGATCAAAATTGCATATTGCCTCGCGTACTCCTCTCCGGCAAATCGCAGAGATCTCGTGATAACGTTAATCGTACTCTGACTTTGGCGCCGGAACGGCAAATGCAATCCATTAAGCGTACGTTGTTTGCGTAATCATTTCCTTCCTCTCAAAGTTAGCGCGTTTAATTACAATAACTTTGCCAATCGGAAAGAAATGTGTAAATATTTTCGCTTTTTTTCGGACAACGTTAGGGACCTTATATTTCAATCAATTGCGAATATACTACCTAGAAGCATGATGTAACAGAAAATTTCTTACTTATTTACTAATTTGGCTGAATCAATCAATTGGAGCCAATTTGGCACGCCTGCAATGACATGTACACAGAGCGAGAGAAATTATGCCTTCGAGGGGTTTTCGAAAGGTCAAGGATGTCAACTAATATTATTTGTGCACATAATAATCTGTAACGTTTGCTTTACGCAACGACTGAAATAACGGCTATCATTTTTCGTGAAATTTCCAAATGTGCTAGAGTAATGCAGCGATTTACGAAACAGCTACGCAATACAGATCGTTCAATACAGATAGCGCGTGTATGTACTTGTAGGTGTGTAGCAAGACGATTCGTGATTTTGTGTGGGCGTGCTAAAGGACGGACAATATAAAGATCTTCTCTCCGATTTAATACGTATATGTGTACACTCAAACAGAACTAAATTACAGAAGAATAGAAGAGAAAAGAAATATTACAACTAGCTATAATTTTTCAAACAGTTTCTATCTTGCCTCAATTCCTTTCCTTTCCTTCTTTTTTCATTATTTCCTTTATGAATAAAATAACGGCTTCTGAGTGTGCCACTTGAAGAATGTGATTATTCTGATTCCACCAAAATGCGTTCGAATCTAACGGGTGCGCAAGAACTTTATTAAAATATTTCTAGCGTAAATAGCGTGAAATGCTGTCCACCGAGAACCTACCGCAATTGTAAAAAGTCGGTCATCTTTATGGAAACTCATTAAGCGTGTTAAGCGTATTAAGCGCGTCAAGCGCATAAAATGTGAGAAAGCAGATAAAAAGCAAAGAAAATTACATTAGGAAAAGGAAAAGTCAGTGTCACAAGCAAACTCGTATAACACCTTGTTTACTTTAATTCTATCTAATTAATGTATTGACAAAAACGCGTTTTCTTCTCCCTTATCATTCGGCAGAAATGTATACACGAGACGTTCGTGAGGACAAAATATTTGTGTACAGTCCCAACAGTGGATAAATTACCGACGTAAGCTGTGTAGAGAGATATATCAGATTTTGTCGCAAAGAAAATTTCTAAGGAATGCTGGCGCCCACTAGGTGACCACTATGGGCAACCTCAACAATATATTATTGATTTTTGGCAGACCGTGCAAAATTCAAACTCGATTCAATTTCAATTGTTGTGATAACGAGGCAAGTCGTGAGACATAATGACAAGTGCAATTCAATCTAATTGACCATCTTATCTTGTAATTCTGCAGGTTTCTAAATATTTTGCAAAATGCCCATGTAGATTAATTAAATGTCAATTGTAGTTTTTAAATATAAGCATCTATTCAGAAATTCTACACTAAAAACTTGAACGTATTTTAATAGGCGACAAGTAACTAAATGCCATATTAAAATATTCATCAACGTATTAATTACTGTAGTAAAATGTATACTACGCATTAGTATTTGCGGGACATGCTGATTGCCATTTATATGATGATTGCATTAGTGATTTACAAGCGTTTGAATAATTCATAATCGCATTTGGTAACATGCGAGCTCTTTCGCATTATGCAGAATAAGTCAATTACACAATTAAGTCACCAATGGTTGGTACAGTTTTTAGGTTTGTTATTCGCAAGAGTAAATGCGACTATCAAATTCATCTTCCTTATATTTTCCTTTATCGGAAGTAATGCTAATTAATACTCGATTATTTCATTTTTTATTACAAAAAGATATCTTTATATAATTAACTAATATCCCATGAAATTAACTGTCATCCATTAGAGCATTCTTAATGTAACTCGACCCGTTACGTCGCGCGATACCTCATATTGATTCGCTTTCCCGAAAATACAGTTATACAAGATTTCATTATTAGACGATATCATAGAAATTAGCGTATTCAGTCGAATTACTCTTAACATTTCATTTATTCCTATGTTTTTAGCCAGCAAAGCCGTGATTGGAATCACGTTAATTTGATTTCGTTAAAACTCAATGATACAAACAAGTTGCCTGGAAAGTTAATGAGTGGTATGCCAAGTTGACTGTAGTTAATTGGAGCAATGATAACTCGATAACTCAGCGTAACGTATCAACAGCGTTGTCCCTGCTACAATTATCAAAGTCCGTATTTGCACTTTCCCCGTTTCCGTGAAACTATAGGAAAATCACGAATTTACACGTATAATGTTTCTTTACTTTTACTCCAATACTGTAAGTTTAATGAAAAAATATTGTTACCAGATTCTCCTACTTGTAACTTTTCCTTCGTACGTGAAAAATTGCGCTCTAACTCGCAACAATTCGGCATTTGAATTCATGCGAGAAACATTCTCAAAAAAAAAAAAACTCTTTTATTCCCTCTTTTATTAAGCCATCACGTAGGTGAAACATGATGACAAAGAGAATCCGTCGAAACAGAACATTCTCTTCGGGGAAGAAACATTTATCTTGCGTTTAAATCTCAGAGTGGAAAGCACGGGTGGGCGGGAGAGAGAGAAGGGAAAGGGGGAGGAAAGAAGAAAGACTTATCTTTATCAGACAATATACGTGATGGCTTGAGAGAGAGAGAGAGAGAGGTCATCGATAGTATTCGGAAATAAGAACGGCATCCAAAAATAACTCCCTTACCTTGTACATGCCTGTCCTTGTCCATTTCCTTCGTAGGGTGAGAGGCAAGAGGATCACTGTCTCTCCAAATCACTGCATCACGAAACTCTCCAACTTTGACCAATTTTGAGCCGCAGCGATTTTAACAAGTTTTCGAAAAGTGTGCGCATCTGTCGCAAACGAATCACCGATGCTAGATTTGCTCGTAAAAGGATTCAATACGTAATAATGCGAGAGAAGGATTTTCTTCCACACTGCTCGATTCAAATCCGAAATTAATGGAACCATTGGCGAGAAAGAGAAAACTCCAGATTGATATTGTGCATATACGCGTTTATCTCCTGTTCGATAGATGATGCAATGCGAATTCGTCGTCGTGATGAATCGAGGAAAGCCGAAGAGTCCATCGCGTCACGTGACGAGTCTAATGTAATGTGTATCACATTGAGATTACGACATTTATGCGTAACGACGTATACTCTTTCACATGGGTGCATTTCACTTTTTCTGCACAATTTGTCTAGTTATGTATCTCCTTTCTGTTCGTATACCTAAATTCCAAATTGAATATTTAGCCTGACTATCGGATCGTATCAAATCAAGTGAAACATCAATCAGAAGTCATAAGTGTATTTTACGCACACTTTTCCAAGATTTTCTTCATAGTTATTTGGTAGAAAAATTATTTGGGAAAAAACTGAATTTAAGAAAAGAAAAACACTAACGTGTTTTTGGATACTTTTCAGAAGTACAACTTGACGTCAATTGTCAAATTAATTGCATTGGCAGATGTTACAAATTTTCTATCACATGTCGAAAAGAAAAAGAAAAAATATTGCTAATGTGGAAAACATCGATGCCGTTCGACCGGAACCTTTTAGTGTCTATTATAGCAATTGGAAAACAGTTGCGAATCATTAACGCAAAGGTAGAAAGTGCATTAGAGGGATCAAATTGAAATCTGTGCAAGGAAGAGAGAATGAAGGGTACTTGGATACTTGGGACTGGAAATGTATCGACGCTTTTCGATTGCTAGGAAAGCCATGCAAAACACACACACGCCTCTCTCTTCTTTCGAAAAATTTACAATCCTTACAGTTTTTTTTAGTTGGAATTAATAACAAGTAACGTTAATATTAATTGATGAACAATTTATAATAAAAAGAAATTAATTTACGATAAAAGTAAAAGTTTTTCTTCGCTAAAGGGAAGAATTACAAAACAAAATGGTGATTATTTGGAAATTTCAAATAAATTTGGACAAATTTTCAAAGGTTTCAAACTGTTAACAATGCGGAAATGTAATCGATCAAGTAGTTATAAACGACTGGTCAGAAATAAAATACTGTTTCGCCAGGATATGATCCGCTCGAAAATAAACTCTTTCTCTGTCGATGTATTTGTTTCTCGTTTGAAACCGAGTATCGTATCGTAACCTTGTTTTATTTTCAATTTTGTATTATTCCAGCGTTGTGAGAAAGAAAAACGCGACCAATATCGAAAAGCAAATCGTAGCATGCGCGAGAAAGTGACGATTCACACGTGTAATATTTGGATGTTTCGGCTTGTACTAGAGTGATGTCAGAGTGATTTTGGCGGCAATAGAGAGTAAAAGAGAAAAAAGCAAAGAAGAAAAGGAAATGATAAATCGATTCTTTCCTGCGTTTCTTTCCTTCACTGACAAAACCAAGAGCTTACGAGAACGTACACACTAGGACGACGAAGGATGGTGGTTAAAGAGGGGTAGTGGGGAGAGAAGAAGCGTAAGAAGCGCGAGAGTACACTCCGCACGCGGCTACACGCAATAGAGAGCGATAGAGACGGCGAGAGCGGCGCGAGGGTAACGAGGGGGTTGACAACAAGGGTCGAGGCATTGAACGTTTGCTCCGAAGTTGTAGCTGTGTAGGAAACGCGCGTGGGGTGATGTGTGCTGAGAAGGATAGTACGGCAAGACTACCACCCGACTACGACGAGGTGTCGTGGGGTAGAATAAGATAGATGCACTTCGACGGAATGTCGTTGGACTACTGACGGTCTCGAGAGAACGAACCGCCGGCTGAGCGAGCGGGACGCGGTAAACGCGCCGTGCCGCGACGCCGACGCCGACGCCGACGCCGACGCCGACGCCGACGACGTCGAATCCCGCGAAAATCTGATATGCGTGCGCACGCGGTGGCCGAATCTCCCCGTCCCTCTAAAGATCCATCCACTCGAAAGGTCCACGACTGGTCCATTTAGCCATGTGAAGATCTTGGCGGAAAAAGGGAAAAGAAATAGCTCTATTTCCAGATCCAGAAAAAGTCTACTGTGAACGAGCAGCGATGGATTTCCCTTTTTGCAACTACGCCGAGAGAGCACGAGAGGAATATGAAAGTTACATCAAGAGAACGAAATATGGGACTTGCGACGATGATGAAAAGACGTAATAGAAGAGAAGCAATTCGACAAATTATAGGCTAAAGATGTAATTTGCCAATAATAACATTATATTTACAACCACGGAAAATTATTAGTTCCAATTATATAAATTGGCCTGAATACCTGCCGTTATCTCTTTGCCATCTCGCTTTCGATCGCCTAGGGTATAATTGTGTGTAGCTAATTTAACTAAAAGTCCAAATTTTCTCACGCAATAATGCAACGAGATATACACGAGAAAAAAAGGAGGCTGATAATATGTGCGAGGGGAATGATGATCTATGATAGAAAAATAACAAATGATATAAACCACCGAGCTGCCAGCGAGTATTTTCGATGAAGAAGAAAGCACGAAGGAAAAGCTTTCAGGTCAAAATAATATTGAAAGAAAATTACGTCAACTTTTGAAGAAAGGGATGATTAGCATAACAAGTTGAAAGTTACGTTTCCATTACTTGGGATCCATACGCCAATAAGCCAAAGGCTTCGTTCAATCGTAATCCAGCAATTTTACTCGCAAAAATGTGTAACCCGAAAGATATCTTGTCATTTGGAAATTGTGGTCACAAAGGAAAAGCCGCGCCCTTACGAATGTGCCGTTTCGACAACATAATGAAATTTTCCGCGAACGTTTATTCGTTGTTGAGCGCGCGTGGATTTCAGATTCTCTCAAAGTTAAAAGCAGCACGATAGGAAGAAATACAGAGAGGGTGACAGCCACGGACCCTAGATATTAATACGTGTATGGTGTCGGTTCACTTTGTCGAGCAACGACGTGTAAGATCGACTCTGCTGGAGAGGTACGCTCTCCTCGCCGTATCGCGCTGATACTTTGTCCTCGTTGCAAGGTGAAATGCTAACTAAAGGGGATGTTTTAATGGCAAAGATAATAATATGCCTGGTCGCGATGGCTATTCCTAGACTGACAGAGATATTCGCGCGTGATCGTAACTTGTAGCCATATCTACGATAGTCGATTCATTGCGCGCGCGCGCGATCGAAACTTTCCCCAATTAACTGTAAGATACATTCAACTGGAAATGATCTGTTTTCTTCCAATATTTCGATTTTCAATATTCCATTAAATCTACATGAAATTTCGAGTAAGAAGCTTGAAAATGGTATTTTAAAACGTACGCGTTACATAAGAAAAACTGGAATAAAAAGAAATTAATATACTTGCAATTTATAAACATGTTAAAATGGTGAGGATTAAAATATTACGATAACGGAACCAAGTTCCAGTCGTGATGGATGAGTGTGAAGAAAAGGAAAGATTGTTTCGTTCGCGTTTGTTTTGTGTAATAAAATAATATTCCATCGCGAAGCGCGTGATATCGACACTGGCGTATCGTATCGTCTCTATTATATGTGCAAGATCGATATTTGAGCAATTCCTCGGCGATACTTAAATATAAACGAACGTTCGTTGCTTTTGTTGCCACAAAATTCAGCAAACTGCCGCACACCCCATAAATATGGCACTGAAAAAGGCTCTGAGATCGATTGCGTCCCTAAATATAAAAACTGCATGTATATACGCGTGTATAAAAAGTCTGCGCGAGCGTCAAGTAGCTATCTATTGCACGCAACGTATGTAAGTAATAGTTTATTATATATGGTATTATATATAATTTTTATCCGCAACGATGTGCGTGTTTTCAGAACCGTAAGAACTAGAAATCTTTAGAGATCAAGTTGCAATCGAACGAGGAAAAGCAATGCAAAATTGCCCGTCCAAAAGGCAACATTTCTCTACACGTTGCGATGACGTCAGAGCACGCCGGCACACGTATCACGTTTGCATACCCTAATTATTTCATCCACGATGCATTTTCGGTTCATCGAATTTCAAAGCATTCCCTTTACTTTAGTCGGTCCTCGCGCGGACAATTAAGATAAGAGACTTTAAATGGGGAAACATGTTACGATTTGGACGTAACGAACATTCACATTTCTACAAAGGAAAAAGTAAATCTAAATGTAGGAAAAACGTGCACAAGTGAATCATTTTCCTGGCTAGCTCTACTTGACGTTGTACAATTAATAACCCGTGCACAAGGGTCAAGCGGCGCGCTTTAAATGAGTCTTCTACGACGATATATACCTACGACGCTCCTGCTCACCAAAATACGGAAAATTTACGAAACTCGATGTCAAGTAGCAGGCACTTTGCGTCGGAATAATAAACTCGTTTATCACTGCGGGAAATTACCATTTTTCAACGGGCAATTTATACTGGGATTACGTGAATGTTACAACACAAGGAATGACGAAATAGCTTGTCGAGCAAATGTGTTATGATTATCGATTCAGCCCTAGATGATCGGTTACAAGTTGGTAAGAGAGAGAGAGAGAGAGAGAGTGCGCGCGAACGTCATAAGAATCGTTCATTATTCTCCCTTATATTGAGAATTCCTGCAAACCGATTAACAAATACCTCTTCTCTTTCGCAATCCGCCGCTTTCTCATCCTTTCAAGCACTCTCACGCCAAGCACCTCCTCTCTCTCTCTTTTATTTCGGATTCTCCGCCTCCGTTCGGCATTTTGTGCCGAGATATTAGAGTCTAAGCGAAGGCCTCGAGAGATCCGATCGAAGAACGCCTCCATTGGTATTCCTAATGGCGAGAAAGGATGTCGGGTTAACATCGTTTAAAAGCACAGGCCGTCGCCCATTAATGCGCCCGATAGTTGTCCAGAAAATCTCATCAACGCTTCTATTTTCGATCTCATGAAGGACGATATCGAATCGTCCTGTTGTTTCCTTGGCTTGAAACAAATTTCTTGGCTGTTAATACAAATTATTTTAATTGATTAAAAACTGAAATTGAAAATGAATTACGTTTCTATGAACGCGCGGTGTGTTGCAACATTAATCGAATCGTCAGGTAATCTCGCGGCGAGTATCGGGGAGTAAACCGATGAGCGGAATCGACCAAGGTAGCCGATAAACGGTCAGCGGAAGTTAGTTATAAGGTAAACCTTGTTGCAACACCTAATTGCCGTAATAACTCGAGACAACTTGACTATCGCCGCGGGGATGCGTTGATAACCACCCTCGGTAACTCTCGGTAACTCTCGGTAACTCTCGGTAGCCCCGGGCCGTGAAATCCGCCGTAAAATAATGGAGAAGAAATGTCGACTATTTATTATTAAGTTTGACAAGTAAAAGGGAAGAAGTTGATCGTAAATTAGTATGATAGTATGTGAAAAGTTGGTGAAATAATTGAAAACAAGGGCTGCCATGATGAATTTCTTTCAATTTCGACATCTGGGGTTTAGAGAGAAAGAGGATAAGGGTTACTCACCAGCCGCCGCATGACCGACGCTACCGCCTGGCCAGATCCGCCAGCTGTTCCATCGGCGCCAACTCCTCGGCGATTTCTGGCACCGATTCAGCTCCTCCATTGACACTCGCGCGCGCGATACCGATTCAGAATGTCCGGTTGTACCTCTTGACCGAGTTTCACTTTTAACCTTAATGTATCGCGATGTATCGTAGCCGACGTAGGTGCGTCAACACTATCACACGGTTCACGACATATCGAATCGCGCCTCCAAGTAAACAAACCTAGTTGATAACATATCGTACGGTTACATTACCCGGTTAAACCGATTATCGATGCTTTCTTCCGGACTGCAACGTTATTGAATTTAGCTAATAATCGGCACGTACCTTTTGCGACAAATTCAACCGCTCGGCGTACGCGTTAATCGCGCGCGCGAAGCAAAACTAACATAAGATGGCGACTCTCCCTCTCTCTCGCGCGCGCGTCGTGCTCGAAAAGTTGATTTTGTCACAGGCTCACTCGCGCGATCATAACAATATTGTTTGTACATTTTCTATCGCGGTTTGCACTGTGGTCAACTCAACAATCGCTATTTACCATTTATCTAGACAAATTACGAATTGGGTAACGCACTGTGACGGACTCGCTCGGTGAAAAATGAGACGGAATGACACGGAACGCGTTACGCTACGTTACTGGACGTTACGCGACACGACGCAGCGCCGCCGCGCCGCGCTGCGAGCATCAGAGAGAAAGATGGCGGCCTCGCGCGACGGCATGCGCGCTCAACTTGACGTCGACCCTCGTAAATATCGAAAAAACCAAGCGTGCTATATTAATCTCTTTATTTATTTAGGCGAGACGCCTAAACAATCCCTGTGAGAATATGTCTTTCTCATCTCTTGCTTTTCCCTTCCTCACGGCAACCAAGTTACGTTCGTTTGAGTAATTCGCCACTTAATATTTCTTCCACTTTATTCGGTAGCAGCCCTCTTAAACTTATTCTACAATAGATGACAAGAACCGATTTCCTGGCCAATGGCTAAGCGTCTTGTATAAATTCGAAGGAGCCAACTATGACGGTTCACTCGCCCAGGTAATTGTTGAGGAGAAAGATGACGACAAATCCGACGGCCACCGACAGAAATTGGAAAATGCCTGCAAACCTGCGCCAGCTTTTGTGCCATCTCGTTCTTTCCCTCGGGAGAACTTCGCTTACGGTTACGTATAGCAAAGTTCCGCCCGCCAGACCTTGCAAGATCGGCAATGCCACTTTTGACCAATCTGTATCCGCCTGAAAGGTCAGCATGCCGATGCCGATTCCGAGGACGGACCCGGCGGCGAATAGAAATATCGCAAATACTAATCTAGGGAGCGATTTACTCACTCCCGCCAATTCCAGCCCCAAGCAGAAGCCGACGACAAACTTGTGTGACGCTACCGCCCCAGTTAGTAACAAGACCTGAAAAGCGATTTTATTTACACGCCAAGTAGTGTCAAAGTTGTGGGATAGTAATCGCGGCGTGTACCTCGGCGATTTTCGTCTGCAGTCCTATCGCGAGTCCTTCGAGGACCGCGTGTACAGTGAGGGCGAGGGCGAGACCGGCGAGGCCGGTGTTGGCATCGGTACACTGCTCGCCGTGGTTTCCATGACATAAAAATGTGCTTTCCTCGCCGAGTGACCGCGAATGGCAGTCGCAACGCGTCGCACCGTAATGGCTAAAGGTCGCCTCGCCCTCGTAGACCTTGCTCCTGTCCTGCGTCGGGGCGGCGTTGTAGCCGACGCTATGGCAGTGATTCCGATAGTTTGTACTACTGAAATTGAAGATGAAGGCAAAACGTTGGAGTGTATCAGCTGTAATTTCGTAATAAGAAACGGGGAAAGAGGCTGCAAACCCTTGCTCGTGCGCGATCTCGCAGCCACGATGACCACGATGACCACGATGACCACGATGACAAAACAAGTGCACGCACTCCTCGACCAAGTAGAGCGCTAGGAAGCCACAGGAGAATACCAGCTCGGCGTAATCCGGCAGACCACGACGCACTTCTGGCAGGACGTGAAGCGTCGCGGTGGCTAGGAGGACACCGGCGCCGAAGCACAGAGCGCAGGAAAGCAGCAGCTTCTGCTGCAGATTACGAGCACGCGAGACGAAGCAAGCGGGCGCGATGCCGACGACGAAGCTGCCGGCGCCGATCAGCAGCATCGACACCAGCTTCGCTTGCACGGCGTTGTCCAACATTTCTCTCGGATTTCGAGCAACTCTCGCGCGAGCAATGTCTCGAGGCGCGACCCTAATCAGACGGCGATGATAACGCTGATAGAGACCGACACTTGGCACCCGCTATCTCAGCTCATCGAATGCGATGAGAGCTGAGAGATCTTGTTCCAAGCAAAGGGGAGAGAGAGAGAGGGTATTTCAAATGCTGACCAAGCTCTTGTTACGGAGATGCGATTTCAATGGGTCTGCGCGCACGATTGCGATAAGCAAAGAAGAGTCGCCTTATCGCGCATACTCTCTTGACAAAATTGTGCGCACTTGCTTGAGCATTTTGTTCAACAGGTGCGCAATTATATACATATTAATTTAATCGGATCCCGCTTTGCCCCTAGGTGTGAGTCTCGACTAAATTATTATATGACTCTGATGGTAAGTGAATCGATCGAGTAACCGAGATATTGATCAACGGTAAAACAGTCTATGTACATATGTATGTATGGTATGTATCGTATGTATCGTATATGGGATAAGATAACTCAAACTGACATTAATAAGAGATTTACTTGATATTTACGATTGCCGATCGCGCCGGAATCGGAAATTCGGAAATTCGGAATCAGCGCCAGAGCCAGAGGAAATTCGGAAATTCGGAATCGGAATCAGGACGCTGACAAGATGTGTAAAAATGTGTAAAAAATAAAACAGTTGAGGTTATGGCGCAATATATGAATTAACGAGTTAACATTCAAGTGGAGAGATGAAGCGACGTTCGCCTCGACATTACCGCAAAAGCGATAACTCATCGGAAAGTCATCGCGGAGATGGCGACCATTTCTATTTCAGCAAATGTAAACACGAATTAAATAAGACTTTCACAGCAAATTTCAATCTTGTTGACGACGTCGTAGACTTTTGGAAATTCGTCGAGAAATACGAGTCTGTGAAGAAGCGACTGGGCGACAATGACGAGTCTGATTCCGCTCTAAATTCCATCGGGCTCCCGGAAAAGTATCACAAGTCCCATTGTCTAAACTTGAAACTGAGTTTGTCCTACCGCGAATTGTTTGCCAGAGTCCCAGAGACGAGATCGTTGACCGAGTCGCGACTGCTCCAGTTCAGAGATGTGATACTCTTGTATCTCGACTTTAAGCAAAAGGAGAAATTTGCTAAATTAAAAAAGCTCCGAGACACGCAGGCCAACTTACCGGTTGCGCGATACAAGCAAGAGATTGTCGAGATGATTAAGACTGAGAAAGTAATGATCGTGGCAGGCGATACTGGTTGCGGCAAATCTACTCAGATCCCTCGCTACTTGTACGAAGCTGGTTTCCAAAAGATTGGTCAGTCTTTCATTAGACGTCTAGAAATTTCATTCTCTAATTCGTTGTCTTATTAATTCCAACTTGTTTCCAACAGCTTGCACCCAACCCCGAAGAATAGCGTGCATCTCGTTGGCAAAACGAGTTGCTTTTGAAACATTGAGCGAGAATCTTAGTAGAGTTGGCTATCAGATACGATTCGAGAAACAGAGAAACCAAGAGACAAACATCACGTTCATAACAGAGGGCCTCTTGTTGCGCCAGGTGGCGTCAATTTATACAAATTTATCAATTTCTAGCGCAGGCAAATTTTACTAATTATCATCCTTGTTTTACTTAGCTGTCGGGTGAGTCAACTTTGTCCGCGTACAACGTCATAGTCTTGGACGAAGTGCACGAACGTCATCTGCACGGCGACTTTTTATTGGGCATTATGAAATGCATCATTAATCAGAAACCCGACCTGAAATTGCTACTAATGTCCGCCACTATTAATATACAACTTTTCAGTCATTATTTTGCTAAGGAAAATGTTAAGATAATAGAGGTAAGTACAATTTCCAAAGTTTCATTGCACGAGTACATGTTGATACACTTACCATCGGCTTTTCACATAGGTCCCCGGAAGATTATATCCCATTCAATTGCTCTATCGCCCTGTAACCGTACAGGACCTCCAATACAAAAACGATCGATTCAATCCTAGTCCTTATGTGCAAATAATGCAAATAATTGATGAAAAATATCCAGGTAGGGAAGATGTTGCGATGATAATGCACAATGGGTAGAAATGTGAAATAATTATCCATTTCAGTCGATGAGAAGGGTGATTTGTTAATATTCTTGAGCGGGATAAGCGAAATTACCGCGGTCGTAGACGCTGCCAAAGAATATAGTCTCAAGAAGAATAACTGGATAGTCTTACCGCTCCACAGTACTCTCTCTATCGTTGAACAAGACAAGGTACGTCTCCCTACTACTCTGATACATCTGCATTACGAAGAGAGAGAGAAAAAAAACTTCTCTTTTCTAGGTATTTGACTATGCACCTGACGGTGTTAGGAAATGTATTGTCGCAACCAACATCGCCGAAACTTCCATTACCATTGATGGAATCAGATTTGTCGCTGATAGTGGAAAGGTGAAGGAAATGAGTTACGATCCCTCGTGCAAGATGCAAAAACTGAAAGAATTTTGGATAAGCAAGGCCAGTGCGGAACAGAGAAAAGGGAGAGCAGGCAGGACTGGACCTGGGGTTTGTTACAGGTCCGACTCTTCGTCCCTTTATACTCTTCACTTTAATCATTTTACATGAAGGAGCGGATAAATGAATAAAAAAACATTGCTTTACAGAATTTATTCAGAGGAAGAGTACAAAATGTTGGAGAAATATTCAACGCCAGAGCTACAACGTGTACCTTTAGATTCTTCACTATTGCAGATGATAGCGATGGGACTTCCTGATGCCCGAAAGTTTCCATTTATAGAACCACCAGCAGCCAATAGCATAGAAAATGCTATACTATCCTTGAAAGATCACGTTGGTATCCTGGACACGTTTGTTTTTCCCCACCCCTTCCTCGGATATTAAGATAAATTTTTCTCCCGACTAGGGTGCACTTATGGAGAACGAAAAGATTACGTGTGTCGGTAAAACCTTGGCACGGCTGCCCGTTGATATTACGATAGGGAAGATGTTAATCATGGGATCCATTTTTCATCAGGTCGAACCCGTGTTGTCATTGGCCGCTGCTCTAAGTATACAAACGCCGTTCACCAACAGAGCTTACAGAGACGCCGAGTGTGAGGTAATTAGTGCGCTAACTAATAATTACTTAATTATGCGAAACAATATCTCGAATATTGCAGACATCTAGGAAGAAGTTGGAATCTGATCATGGCGATCCAATAACGTTGTTGAATACATTCAAAGAGTGGCTGGAAGTAAAACAAGAAAACTCTCAAGAATACAGAAGCAGTAGCAACAGCAGCAGAAGGTGGTGCAAAAGAAGAGGTTTGGAGGAACAACGGTTCTACGAAATGACGAAATTGAGGGCTCAATTTAAAGACTTGCTCCAAGTTGGTTTATACGCGCCCCCTTAAGTGCATTCTTTATACAAATATTCCCGCGTTACAATACATCTATAATATACCTATATTGTGTGCAGGACTGCAATTTGCTCAAGAGTCTCCCAGAACCAAATTCTTCCATGACGAGCGCAGAACGTGCGATAAGGCATGGAGAATTGAAACTTTTGAAAACTCTCAAAAGAACTTACAAGCAAAGTGAACCTAAAAAGCGTAAACAATTAAAAGTAGAAACGTTCGATATACAATTGGAGGATGACGATAACGGGCAGCTCGACATAAAAGATATAGAATTTCGAATGAGAAACGACTCTAGTCAGGTGCAAAATCTTTTAACAGCGTCTACCGCGTGTAGCTATAAAGATCTGACAATGTTGAAGTTGATATTATGTAGCGGTTTATATCCACAATTTGCTTGTGCCGACGAGTTTAATTATTGCAAGGTAAAATATTACCTTCTATTGTGTCTATACAGCTAATATTTTCGGGATTTGGAAATGTCCAATCGTTTTTTAAATGTGCCTTCAAACTATTGCCCAGTCTATGAGTGAGCAACTCTTTCACACGAAAGCAAAACCGTACGTTGCTTTGCATCCAATGAGCTTTTTTGGAAATCATCCACAAGTTTTACAAATCGAAGAAGCGGATGTTATGCCAGTGCCAGGATTTAAGAACAAGACTCCTATAAGCTCGAAACATCAGATATTGGCGTATCTGTAAGTCTTTATTATATACATGTACAAAAACAATTGTCAAACTTAAACGCTTCTGGATAATATGTCTTATTAATAGATCCCTTTTGGAAACTACAAAACCGTATCTGGTAAATACTTTAAGAATGCCTGCTGCCCAAACGTTGCTATTATTTGCGCATGAAATAGACACAAATAGCACATTCTCCATGTAAGTACGTTTACTTGCTCAATTTTACAACTGTTGCTAAATGTCTTTTACGTCTTGTAGAATAGCATGCGATTCGTGGCTCATGTTGGAATTTCCTGTTGCTGACAGTGGTCAAATCTTATTGATGAAAGCTACCAAATTAAGAAATAAGTGGGATTTCTTATTAAATCAGCAATTGCAAGGTAAAGAATGCATTTTTTATTTTGGGCGCTTTTTTAACAACTAGGTTAAATGAGCGGTAAAATTAGGGTATACACATTATTTTAGGTTCCGACAGTGCCAATGACGAGAGAAAAGATTTTAGTACAGTCGAACAAAGTCTTACGCAAGAACTGATCGAATATATGCATACTACGATACCATACACCATAAGACGGCTGTTACCAGCCGATCTGAAAATGATATATGTCGGTAATGGCAATAATGACACGCATATAGAGCCTAATCCTTTCCATCCCACTTTTACAAGTATACCAAATGTAATTAAAGGTGGGGCTTATGTCACAGATAATATTACATATAATTGGTGAGTACTTGGTACTAATTAGTGACAAGATTCTCTTTATTAATGAAACTTAAATTTTGTTACACTGTAGCATAAAAGAAACTAGTTGGAGCGAACAGTTGATTGTAGAAATGCAAGAAACCGAATGGCATTGTGAAAATTGTAATCTTGAAGCAATTCTATCGAGCATCGAGAAACTTCAGCATCAGAACTCTTGCGTAATCGCGGATCCGATTAGTGTCGGTGAAAAGAGTAAACATATTACACGTAAAGCTAATAGTCAAGCATACGAGTGTCCAGATTGTTCGTTAACGTTATATCTCACGCCTATCGAAATATTGAAGCATAAAAAGTTACATGTCAAAGCCAGCTAAAAGCAATCTGTCGATTGTATATAAATGGAACGTACAGTCATTGGAAGGTAAATTACATACATACAATTGATATATTATCTACAGGTAAATTCAGACAAAATGAATCTTGTGCTACCTTTTCCGCGCGAGATATTCATTCTTCACACAAGAGCTTTATCGATCAAGTCCATGGCAAGAAATTTGAAAACATTAAACACCCCACAATTGTATATCCTATAAAGTATAACAATACAAATTTATCTTGCAGTGTATATCGTTTTTGAGATAAGAAAAATACTTTCCACTTGGAGCACATATTTTCGTTACTCTCGTATTGTAAATTGATACGGTCGATGCATTTGTGAGACATGATCGATGCACAATACCAATATGGCAAGGGAGTTGCAGAGGCTAATAAACGCGTGGTGACTTGGATATGTACAAAGAATAAGCAAGACATTGTTAAAAATAATCCATGTACCACAAAGGCAAACACATTCAATGGATATTTCTTTACTTCAATAGTACTTTTGTCTTTCACCTTGCTGTGAAAGAAGCCTAACAAGTACAATTCATCCCTATATTCACAAAGAAATTCTTTTATACATTGCGACATAATGTACAACATCGGGAGAGCTAAAATAAAATTTGGTATCTGTTTAAATCGATAATATGTTAAGAATCCTACATTCCAATATGTCCCTTGCACATATGAATATGCTAAAGGCAAACTAGCGTTACACCACATTGAATCTGTTCTACCCGGTAGAACCAGATCATTTCTTACGGCGTATTGTAAAATATGAATTGGCAATAGTGACTTGTCGAATGTAGAAGTGCAAAATTTCATATAGTTGTATATTTGTAAAAGGGCAAATGGAGATAGCGATATAATCAATGTGCTCAATATGGTGAAACAGTTTTTCAATTTGATTAGCTTCAAGATATGCCACAAGATTGACAGTACGTTGTACTTTCGTTGCCATTTCCCAGTTCCTTCCGAATTGCACAAAGTCTTGAGCCTGAAATATGTAGGGAAGCCAATGTTGACGATACCATTTGATCTCGCCAAAGTAGACAGAGCCAATGGAAGACAGACAGTAGACATACCCTTGACACTTGCGAGCATAGTGTAAAATGTCAAATACGCAAACATGGATTCTGAATATAGAGCCGAGAAAAAGATGCTAGCCGGATTTATACAGTAAAGTATTGCCGCTTTATACGCCGTTGCAGTACTTGGAAATACACGCTCGGTGAGATCGTAGAGGATGATGGCCGATTTTACAAAACAAACGAAATTTATCAAAATCGCAGCAAGGACCATCGTACTCTGGATGTTGAAGAAGGGAAATATTTTTGTCAAAATAATGGCGATGATGCGAATCATAGCTGGATACAACGGATAGAAAGCGAGAGTATTCTCATACGTGTAACCATATCTTGCGATATGTAAAAAGTATTCTCCATCCCAATGTGTAAGACCATTGAACAGGAAATTAATTATTCGGTCCCAGAGAGAAACTTTCTCCGCGGGATCGAAAGGTCTTTTGAAAGCATCCGCGTCATGATCGGGGATTGATACGTTAAAAATTACTTGTAACATTAATATCGCGATTCTAGTGGTGATTGCAAACCAAAAGACTTTCTTTCTCGGCGCGTACATTTTGCGCTGCTTTCTATATCGTCACATCCATTTAATCGTAATAATGAAGGTCTATATCTGCCGGTGATTCATATTTTTGGTTTCCTGTTGGTCTACTCTTATCGTACGACCAGGAAGTAGTCCAAGTCTAATCAGGCCGCTCGTAACGTGTCAAACGAGATCACTCGGGGTAGTGCTGTGAAAGAGATCATTCTTGCGTGACATATAGATTATTCCTGCATAGTAGATTTTTCTCGTATGTAATGTCGCATTAATGGAGAAGAATATGTATCTCATTTTAAATTTATTCATTATCGTAATTAATTTTTCATTAATCACTACACAAGACGTTACGCCACAACTGCCACCTGTACGGCTACCCTCGCAGCCACCTACGCTGGACCCGAATAGACGTACGTTATAAATCTGGTAACTTTGTCGGAATTGAATTTGAATTTCAACACAAAACTACTACGGCTATATCTCTATATGTTAGATTTTAAGAAGCCGGACAAGGAACTGGTTGGCGAAACGTTCGACAAGGACCTGACAGATTGGCTGTTTACCGGATGTTGGGGCGAAGATAATAATAAACCGAATAAATGCTCACCGTATCGCACAGCGATCGAATATCCTGGCTACGATGGATGGACCAATAACGTTGGTAGACCGGAACTGGGTGCAGTCGACACTTCGTTGTTAAGAAGACTGCCAGCAGCTTACGAAGATGGAGTGTATAAACCGTCAGGCTCTAAAAGACCGGAACCATTAGAGATAAGTGAGAAGCTGCTGAGTGGAAAAATTGGATCTAAATCAAGAACGGGGAGAAACGCTCTACTTGTATTCTTCGGTATGGTCTTGCGTGACGTTGTGTAACTCGCAACTCGTGGAAATTTCCAATATAATACGCCTAGTCTCTCGACAGGTCAACAGGTGGTGGAGGAAATTTTAGATGCCCAGAGACCGGCGTGCCCGCCCGAATATATTAATATAAAAATTCCGGAAAACCACCTGTACAGAGATAAACCAGGGCACACGGAGATGCCAGTTTTACGTACGCGGTACAATCACCGGACGGGCCATTCGCCCAACAATCCTCGTCAACAGGTATCGTTGATAATACAATCGAGCCGTTAATGTCGATCGACCCAAGCAAGAAAAACGGTTACAGCTGAACGAGATTACGCCATTCTTAGACGGCGGATTGATTTACGGTACATCGAAAGCGTGGTCCGACGTTTTACGGACGAATGCCAGTGGAATATTGCAGGAGGACGGGCAACTCGCGTCGTCGGACCTTGCTCTGTATCCCGACTACAATACCGCTAGATTACCGATGGCCAATCCACCGCCGCCTATTCGCCATCATCAATACGTATCACGCCATTACACCGAGAGCGTCACCAGATACTTCAGTGAGTGCTTTATTCTAGATATCGCTGGTAAGGTACATTGGATCAGAATTTTGTGCCGCAGACGCGCTTAGCGTAATCGGCTATGTGATGATCCTTCGGGGTGCATTCGTACTCGATCTTCTCCGAGTAGGGCATCGGGACGTCGATGCCGGCGCACCGAACCGCAGGTGCGTCGAGCTGAAAGAAGACTGGGTTCTCCATAACTGTCGCGACAATCTCGGCTCCTACTCCGCATCTCGGCCAGCCCAGCTCGACGGTCATCAGCCGGTGCGTTTTGCCGATCGACCTGAACACCGTGTCCCAGTCGAGGGGCCTGAGCGATCGTAGATTGATCACTTCCGCCTCGATACCTTGTCCGGCCAACAGCTCGGCCGCTTGAAGCGTATACACGTACGCCTGGCCATGCGTCACTAGAGTGATGTGCTTGCCAGGCTTCTCCACTTTAGCCTTGCCGATAGGTATCTGGTAGTCCTTGTCCATGGCTTGGTCAGACACGGGGAACTCTATGTTGTAAAGTAGCTCGCTCTCGAGCATGACGACGGGATCGGGGTCTCGCACGGCCGCCTTGAGGCAGCCCCTGTAATCCTCGCAGGTCGCCGGTGAGACGACCTTGAGGCCGGGCGCGCTCATAAACCACGCGGCGAAGCATTGGGAATGCTGCGCGGCCAGACCTTTGGCGTTACCGTTCGGCCCTCGGAACAGGATAGGGACGGGGTATCGCCCGGCGGACATGTAGAGATTCTTCGCGGCGCCGTTTATCATACGGTCGATGGCTTGCATGGAGAAATTGAAGGTCATAAATTCGCATATCGGCCTCAGGCCCAGGAGCGCCGCGCCGATGGCGATGCCGCAGAATCCAGCCTCCGTGATCGGCGTGTCGATCAGCCTCTTGTCGCCGTACTTCTTCCAGAGGCCGCGCGTTATCTTGTAAGCGCCGTCATATTCCGCGACCTCCTCTCCTATTATGAATACCTTCTCGTCCCGAGCCAATTCCTCGTCGAGGGCCGCGTTCAACGCGTCGCGCACCGTCATCCTCGTGACGGATCTGCGTTGCGGTTCCCCGAGTACGACGTGCCGCGTCGTCGCTCGCACTATTTCTTTACTCCGAGACAGTCGAGCAAGATGCATCATCTTACCACGCGATGGTCTGTTGCAGAATTAGGGAATCCTCGAGGGAATGAAAATCCGTTTCTGCTCACTTTCGGTATAATATGGTTCAGATGGCACAATTTCGTAGCGTCTCACGTTAAACGGCACAATCCACAGTGGACGAGCGACAAGATTTACAACGAGGCCCGTAAATGGGTGATAGCGACTCAGCAACACATTGTCGTCAACGAATGGTTGCCCTCGTGGTTGGGCGACAGACTCGCTACGTACGAGGGTGAGGAATTTCCTCCTTCGCCTCTACCAGGAGATTCTATATGTCATATGCGCTCCAAATGACAATTTCTTTCTTGTTCAAAGGTTACAATCCCAATATTGATCCGCAGATTGAACAATTTTTCCAATCGGCCGCTTTTCGCTTCGGCCATACCTTGGTACCACCAGGCAAGTAATTGCTTACTATTCGCGCGTCCTTTGTTTGCGCCGTTCAATTGGCTTTTCTTTTCAATATCTACAAGGTGAGTTAATCGCACTGTGTCTCAGGTGTGTACTTGCGCAACTATGGGAGGAATAACTGTTCCTTGGAATCATACCCAATTAGAACGTGCAACAATTACTGGATGTCGCAGGTACGGCTTGGCAAATTGCATTACGCGTATACGCGTGTCCCAACTTTTCCTTGTTGTAGAATTCTCTCCATGCCAACTTGACAAGGATCAAGGGTGTGATCGACGTGGAGAAATTACTCATGGGAATGGCTGTTCAATTGTGCGAAGAGGAGGATCATAAAATCGTTGAAGACCTACGGGGCAGTTTATTCGGTCCACTCGAATTTTCCAGAAGGGATTTAATGGCACTTAATATTCAGAGAGGACGTGACCATGGGGTGCCTGATTACAATAGCGCCCGTCGTGCCTACGGTCTGGCGCAAGTTAAAAACGTATCCCATTTTAACCGCGTGGATGTCGCGGTACGTTGTATTAAAATGCAATTTACTGGTAAACTTACTGGTAAACTTACAAGGGATACATCATTTCTATTTCATTTCGGGTCAGATCCGGGAGGAGTTTCTCAGATTGTACAACAATTCGTTCGATGACGTGGATATCTGGGTAGGCGGAATACTAGAGACTGGCGATGGGCCCGGAGAGTTGTTTCAAGCAATCATTCGTGATCAGTTTCAGCGAATACGCGACGGTGACAGATTTTGGTATAATAATACCGCAAATGGGTGCGTATTAATTACCGTTTCATTGTCAGTTTACGTGTTACCGTTTCAACATTATTTCCTTTGTAGACTTTTCACCGACAGGGAAGTCGAAAGACTGGAACAATTATCGTTTTACGATGTGCTAATGTGTACCACTAAGATGGACTGGAACGATATTCCAAGGAATCCTTTTAGAGTTCCTGTCACAGGTAATTTGCTCGCGACAGCAATTAAACGGGCTAGTTGTAAATAGCGTTGCTCTTTACAACTTACAGCGAATGACATACATCCTAGTTGTATCACCAATAAGATTGTGAAAGAAGGCAGATGTACAAGTGGTCCCTGTTTTCACGCCGATCAAATAAACGAACGCACAATTGAGAATTGCACAGAGCCTGGCACTTATGACTTTTTCTCCAACAGCAGCGCATCCTTTATCCTTACGTTTTTAGGTGTATCAACATTATTTTGTGGTAAAAATCTTGTTTGCACTCGTATTTTCGTGTCACACACATTATTTAATGATATAATTTTGAATGCAGGTTTCATCACGTTCATCATTTTTAAGATAGAATTCAAAGATAAAAAGTCAGCGAAAGAAAATGTTATGTATAGGAAAGCAGACCACAGTGATAACATAGATATTATACATACTGGTAAGTTTTCGGCAAGCACTATGTCGCATCGCAGTATCGCACATGTGTATTAACAAAGAGATTATTTCGTCAACAGCTAGCGAATGGCAAGAGCCAAAGGCTTCACTGAGACGCGTAATATTAGTGCCAAATATACGAAAGAAGCAACTGGAGGTGAAAAGCCAATTAGGACACTTGATACGCGCGGTGGAGTTTCCATCCAACAGCAACGTCATGGTCGGTCTCTCTCTCTCTCTCTCTCTCTCTCTCTTCAATATCAATACACTAATTGACTAGTGTAATACATACTTTTACAGATTTATTGCGCATCTGACAGCCATTACATGTTGATTCGTGTACATCATAGTTATGATTTGGTGTTAAAGTTTGATTCTGACTTTTTGAGAAGCGCATTTATAAAAACATTCGAAAAATTTACATCGGAAATCGGTACGTCCGAGGATGCGAGCTTAATGCAAATGATGACCAACACCACGCATGCGGCCCTACTCAAGCAAGCGATAACCAAGAAACAACGTCAAAAAAAATTGGAAATGTTTTTCCGTGTTGTATTTGCACAGGTATTATACTACATGTATATACCGCCCGTCTCTTCTTTACGTGAAACTTGTCGAGATACATTATGTCCACGAAATGTTTTCAGGCATTCCATATCGCGCATACGGAAGAAGAAATCTTACAAATAGATTCGACGGTAGCGCGAGAAGTAATTCATACCGAATTGACCATCATTGAGTTTGCGGAAGCCCTGAGTATGAGACCGGACGCAGAGTTTGTAAAGAAGGTGATATTTGTGTCAACGACAATTTGAATTTTGAATATGTTAAAGATGGTATCGAAAAATAAAATTTGTAGATATTTCATCTAGTAGACAAGGATAAGAACGGCTTCATATCATTTCGGGAGTTTGTCGATATGTTGGTGATATTTCTCAAGGGTTCTGCTGAAGAGAAGATGAAGCTCATGTTTGACATGTACGACATCAATGGTACGGGAAGATTGAGGAGAGAAGAGTTTTCAAATATGTTGAGGTTGTATGGTGTAATTCCTTCTCTTTCTTTTTCTGTGTAGAGTATATATACATATGTACGTATTACAATTAAACATGTAGATCATTTATGGAGACTGTCAACGCTGATGTCACGGACGTTGAGCTGGAAGCTTTGGTGCAATCCATGATGTTTCACGCCGACTTGGCGAGTAAAGAGACGATAAATCTACAAGATTTTCAGCAGATATTAAGTGACTTTAATGATAAATTTAACTACGCGGAATTGGAATTCAATGTACCTATGGATGGGAAAGGCAACAGGAAACTTCACGCGGGCGTGAAGACAGTTAGGTCGACGTTTATTGGGGAAGTACAAAAGACGGTGGAGAGTCTATATGCCGATCCAAGCGAATTACAATCTAGAGTCGAGGGCAAAGTTGAGAGCGAACAGGATGGGACAAGTAGTAATAGTGAAATTATCGACAAGAATGAAAAAATTGTCCAAGAAATTCAGAGACACTCGGACGATTATTGGTATCCCATAATGAAATACCTCGCTAACAAACGATTGCAGATATTCTGGGCGTGTTTATACACTTTGTTCCTGCTTGGGATTTTCGCCGAGCGAGTATATTGTACGTCCTTCCTTATCCTTATCCTTATTATAATTTTGCAATGCGTCGCATTCTAAATCACATTTACAGACTACTCTGTACAACGGGAACATTCTGGTTTGCGACGGATATTGGGCTACGGCTTGACTATAACGAGAGGCGCGGCGTCGGCTATGATGTTTACTTATTCTACCTTATTAATCACCATGTGTCACAATACTATCACCGTTCTGAGAAGCACGACTCTCCAATTCTACATACCCTTCGACTCAGCGATTGAGATGCACAAGTATATCTCTTGTTGGGCACTCGTATTTACCGGTAAGATATTACTTGTGTCCCACTTCTTCTTAATGTCCTTCTCTTTTCAATGTCTCTCTTTTAGTGTTACATGTAATTGGACATGGCTTCAACTTTTATCACATATCTACGCAAACTGCCGATGATCTGACGTGTTTATTTCCCAATTATTTCCACGCGTAAGCTTACTCTACCTCACAATTATTCGCTTGTGCTTTGCTACGCCCGATGATTATTGATATTTCTCTAGGACGCATCAACTTCCCAAGTTCCATTACTGGTGTTGGGGTACAATGACGGGTATAACGGGAGTCCTTTTAACCATTTTGACCGGATTAATATTTGTGTGCTCGTTGTCGATGGTACGGAAGTCATTCTACAACTGGTTCTCGTCGATACACTCCTTGTACCCAGTTTTCTATATACTTACGGTTCTACATGGCAGTGGAAGATTAGTACAAGTAATTACTTTTATATATATATATATATAAAATACCATTGTACTCTTTTTCACACTTGTCGTCATTCGACAGGAGCCGTACTTTCATTATTTTTTCCTGGGACCAGTCATTCTGTTTATTCTCGATAAAGTCGTAACTGTAACTAGAACGACGATAGAAATACCGGTGCTCAAGGGAGAAATTTTGCCATCAGGTACTGTCCACCGTCAGGCTCGCACACATTGTTGCACACCCTCGTAATATTATATTATGTGCCGTAGGTGTAACGTGTATAACATTTGTGAAACCTTTAAATTTTCAATACAAATCTGGCCAGTGGATCAGAATAGCATGCCCAGCGTTACGGACAAATGAATATCATCCGTTTACTTTATCCTCCGCGCCACACGAAACGAATTTAAGTATACACGTACGAGCGGTCGGACCATGGACCAGAAATATCCGAGAGAAATTAGAGTTGTGCACGATGACTAATGAAAACTTGCCGATGGTAAGTCTAATCTCACATCTATCGTTGCTATTGTTTGCTATCCATTGTTATCTCGGCAGATTCACATAGATGGCCCGTATGGAGAGGGTCACCAAGATTGGGACAAATATCAAGTGGCGATTATGGTCGGTGGTGGTATAGGTGTCACGCCCTTTGCATCGATACTTAAAGATATTGTTTTCAAGTCCAATTGCAACGTCAACTTTGGTTGCAACAAGGTAATGGCGTATCTTGTAGCTATCTAGAGCTATACCGCAGTACAAAGGGGACTTTTTCTATACAGGTGTATTTCATTTGGGTGACTAGAACGCAAAAGCAATTTGAATGGATGGTCGATATATTGAGAGAGCTCGAGAAAGTAGATGTCAAGAACACTGTATCTATTCATATCTTTGTTACTCAATTCTATCAAAAATTCGACCTACGCACGATACTTTTGGTAAGATGAATTCAGCTATCGTTCACTTGTTTATCGTATCTCATTATATTTTATAATGGTATTTCAGTATATTTGCGAGCGTCATTTTCAAAAGATTTCAAACAAGTCTCTGTTTACTGGCTTGAAGGCTGTGACACATTTTGGACGACCCAAGTTTTCTCAATTTTTCTTATCTATAGAAAAGTTACATCCTACCGTGAGTTATCATTGTTATTATTACATCATTTCCAACAGAGTATTATATAATCTCTTGTTTCAGGTAAATAAGATTGGTGTTTTTAGTTGCGGCACACCGGCCATGACGCAAGCAGTGGACGCAGCTTGCAAAGCCATTAACCTAACAGAAGTTAACGACACGTTATTTCAACATCATTATAAAAGTTTCTAGTGTATCATTTCGACATGATATAAATGAATATTTTCTACATTAACCAATTGCACATGTGTGTCGCATAAATAATATCAATAAAGTTGTGTAATAATAAGAGTGATTTCTCATTCGAGGTATCCTTTCGTGTAAATACTCACACGTATCTTGTCGGGTGCGTTCTTTTAGGCATCGGATTTGGCAACCGCTGCGCATCGGATTTGCCGGCTGACGGAAATCTGCGGTGCAGTCGACTGCGCAGTCGGGCTAAAAGAATGAATTACTGCAAAAACTGCTGTATCCGATGCCTAAAAGAACGCACGGGTCATCATCTATCGTCCAGCTTTTAGGGTGCTTTCACATGGAGCGTAAATTGCGTAGCGTAACCTGCGTATCACCAATCACAGGATCATGCTGATAGAACCGTTTCAATAATTCCGTTGAACTAGTCCTGTGATTGGCGATACGCAGGTTACGCTACGCAACTTACGCTCCATGTGAAAGCACCCTTAGGGTGGCGTCCCATGGAGCGGAATACGCGGAAGCGGAATCAGTGGATCGCCAATCACAAGACCGTTTCGACGGAATTTTTGAAAGGGCTCTATCAGAATAATCTTGCGATTGGCGATCCGCTGATTCCGCTTCCGCGTATTCCGCTCCATGGGACGTCACCCTCAAGGTGCATTTTCATGCTGACGCTTGACGCTCACTTTGAGCGTCAAACTAGTTACTTTGGGGACTTTTTTGAATTGTAGCGTTAAGTGGACGCTTGACGCTGACTTCGAGTTGACGCTCGATTTGAGTGCCAAGACGCTCTATTTAGCGTGTAATTGAAATAAGCAAACTCTCCTTCGCCAATATTTTTAGATTGCACAATTGGCGCTGTTAACGCCAAGGAAAGCTAAAATCTTTTTAGCTTTTTCCACTTGACGCTATAATTCAAAAAAGTCCCCAGTCAC